CGTGCACACACACACACACACACAAAATGCTGTTAAAGTATTTTACAATATCCAGGCAATCACATAAAAAGCACTTCTGTTGTACTTGTCACCAGAAAACACTAAAACCGAGTATTTAAATGCTTGGTGGAATGAGGCGGAAATTTCAAGAGGACCCATGAAATGTGAGGCTCTGCACGTGGAAAACATACTAAGACACGAATCTAGTCCCCACTGGACATGACTGTTGAAACACAGGTTTTCGAGTCAGTACCATGGACTCCTGAACGAGGTCCTCCAGCTTGTGGACGCTGCTCGACCTGTCACAGCTGTACTTCCGCTGGATGGCATCTTTTAGGTTCCGCAAGTAGTCAGTCACTTCTTTGGCATCGTTGAAAAACTGCGGAAAGAGGAAAACGGGCCGTTCAAGTGTCTGAAAGGTCAGCAAAGCACAGAGCCGGCGGGCGGGGCACCAGGTCCCTGTGTGCACCCCTCACGTGCGGGGACAGAATCCACTTACGAGACCACGTGACCAACATATTTCTTTTAACCACATAACTCTTGGACTTGGCTGATGACAAACAACTGCTGACTGCCCGAAGCATGCATCTCTACTACTGTTTTCGCCCTGTATTATTTTTATTCAGAGTTTATACTGCTTTAGTGTCCAGTTGTTAAGTAGGGGTGAAATTTCAAGAATATTTTAAAACTTTTGAAGAATAGGGGAAAAAAGCTCTCTATAGTAAAATAGTTCCTTAACAAGAGAAGCATGTAGAAAAATTAAGATTTTTTTCTAGATTAAATGGCAACAAACTCTCAAAAAAAAAAGTTAAGATTTTCAGACATTTTAAGCAGTTTTTTTCTATAGTACTTCTTTTTATTTTATTTTTAGAACTGAAGTATAGTCAGTTACAACGTGTCAATTTCTGGTGCCCAGCACAGTGTCCCAGTCATACATATACATACATGTATTCATTTTCTTATTCTTTTTCATTAAAGGTTATTATAAGATATTGAATATAGCCTCTTGTGCTGTACAGAACAAATTTGTTTTGTTAATCTATTTAAGCATTTTTTTAAAGTACTTCCTCCTTAAGTCAGAAAGCAAAAGAAAAATGCCATATGATATCGCTCATATGTGGAATCTAAAAAATAAAGGGGCACAAATGAACTACTTATTATTTGTAACTTAGATAACTGATTTCTTGAATATGTGTGAGCACATCTGACTGCCCTTTATGGTTGGATTACTGCATTCTGTTGATTCTAATTTGGTGGTTGGCTTTGTTCCTTCGATAACTACGTAAGTTTAAAAAGCTAAAGCTCTAAACTGTTCTTTGAAACAATGATCATATGTAAACTAAAAAAACACATGTGCAATATATTGAATATATATATTTACATGCAATATAATGTATATGTGCAAACTGTAATAATTCTACCTAATAAAACTGAAAAAGGGGGAAAAAGAGAAAATACTGCATCTGGTTGAATTTGTTCTGAATCCTGAATTAATCATTATGTGCTGTATGCCAGAAACTGACACAACACTGTAAACTGACTATACTTCAATTTGAAAAAATGAATTTAAAAAAACCTGAAAAAAAAATAAAATAAAGTAAAATAAAATATTTCCTCCTTCCTAGAATGCATCCATTTATCCTAAAGGACAAATAGCCCTTACATCCTACGAAGAAAAGATTTCGGTTTATTTCCCCTGAACACGGCACGTATGTGTCTTAACAATACGTGACGGCAGTGTGCTGTGACTCAGCCGAAGCTGTGACAGCACCTCCTGACGCGGGGACCGTCTCCGTACCTCGAAGTAGGCGCCGTTGTCCTTTAAGTGCTGCTCCACGCACTGGCAGAGCTGCAGGATCCAGCTCCACTGCGTCTGCATTGCCGCGCGGTAAGCCTTGCAGAGAAAACACAGCCGTGTGACTGTCTAGGGAGGAAGGACGCACAGTCTGCTTCTCCAGAACTAGAGCCTCCTATCTACGGAGACCACGGGGGTCCTTTAACTGAGGAAGACCTGAAAATCAGGGCAGTGCGACATCCCAGTGTCTCAGAGCCAGCCCTCAGCCTGTCAACATCGATGTTTTAACTCAGTCCAGTCAATTTCTTTCCAACCTTAAATGTCTTGGTGATTTTTCTTAAAATAGACGGACGAAGCTAACCTTGACTTTTTCACTGGAAAAAATCTACCTAATACTGGAAACGGAGACAAGCTACCTGGCTTTTCAGAAAACAACCTTCCACTCCTCCCCGCTGCAACAACACTTCACTGTGTGGAATCCTCACACGTGCCTCCTTCCGGCCACTTTCCTTCATCTTTCTTGTCTCCAAATGTTTATATTACTAGGTCACAAAATAGGCCTTCTGACGCAAAAACGCAGTCTGGAGTTTTCTGTCTTTGCTTCCAAAACTAGACTGGAAGCTCTTGGTGGATGTGGGGGTCATTTCATTGTCTGTTTCTACCCAGGGCTGTCTGGGGGCGGGTGGAGAAGGGCATATGCAATCCCACATCAGTGTAATTCTGGAATCCCAATAATTATAATACTCGGGATTTTTGTTTAAAATGTTTGTTACTGTAATTTTTTATTTATTATCAGGTGCACTGTTTCACATGAGCAAAGATACTGTAGAAAAGACGCCTACTTATTAGGGAAACATGAAACACCCTTTAAGACTTTAAGGTGCAATCCACTGGCTTCCAGAAGAGGGCGCCCTAGATGCGCTCACAACTGTCTTATGTCGGCCTGTCAGTCCTGGAAAAACTCACTCGCACGGAGCTAAGTCCAGGCAGGCTTCCTGGGTGGAATGCACAACGCAGCCCTGGAAACCTGGCCGCGCAGCTTAATCGTATTAACCCGCTCCCTCCAATGAAGCTGCTTTGAGTAAACTGGCTATAAAAGGCGTATCGTGCGCGGTTAGACTATTAGCTGCTTTTTCACATGAAGTATGAGATGGTGTTGACAATTAACTCTGCCCCATTACCCGCAAGACACTGGATGGGCCGAAGGAATCATAACGATGACTAATAAGACTTCATTTTATTCTTCAAGGAACTTTCAGTTAATTAGACTAACACCTCCGCGTACAAGCAATGAGGTTCACTCCACATTTTCCATTCCCACCAGAACCCTCAACCTGCAACACTTCCCAGCAGCTTTCCTCTCTCTAGGGAACATCCCACTTTCAATCTGTCCTCTTACAAATGCACGTCCACACCCCGCATGACTCTGATTTCCTTTCCCTCGTGGCCCTCCTGAGCTTCCATGGCTTCAACATTCCTACACGGCACCTCCTGAGACGCAAAACCACGTATTTATCCAAGAGAAGGTCACCTGTAACATTCCCCAAACTCCCCAGTGAGGCCTAGAAGTTTCCTAATCTGTGTCACAGTGACGTAGTTCAGAGAACAGAGGTCATCAGATTCCTTTCCTCAGCGGCAGGCCACGTTCTAAGCACAGCTTTGCTTTCTTCCCCCCTGACAATAAACCACATGTGTCCATGCTGGGTGCTCCTCACCCCCTTCCACAACCCCCTTTGCATTAAGAAAGTCACTAAACTGAACCAGTGTTGACCTCAGGCCTGACAATTAGCCCCTGACTCCCAGCCACCACCACATGGGCAGCCTCCACCTCTGGGCCTGAAATGTGTGCCTGGTATTGTTCCCACACGCCTCACAAAATCGGATCATGAACACAATTCCTCAATCAAATCACAGTAACTGTGGAGCTGGCTCTCTGAAGTCCATAAAACCCCACTCCTGGGCTCTCCGAGTGCCTGGAGCCTACTGACACCCTGAACTCCAACTCCCCACTGCAGGACCCTCCATGTGCCTGCACTTCTGCAAGATGAAAACATCTTCCCCGGATGTGTGTTCACCCTAACAACACTAACCGCCCCAGGAAATGGCTAATCTCACACTACCCTGGGCGGACAGGCCTCACTGCACTGCTGCCCTCATCAGAGTCCTGAATCCCATCACTCAGAGGAGCCCCTGACAAGTCTTGCCTCACTTATGACCCATCAGGTACCTGTGCACGAAGTGACCACGTGGCCCCTACCCCTGTGTTCACAGCCCCTTCCCCCAGTAACAGACCCTCCACGTTCACCTCTTGTCCGTGTGGCCCGCTGTTGCCTGTAGCAGCGTCCCCATTAAACTGCTCCTTGTCCCTTAAACTTCCCCTTGTCTTTGGTAAATTCTTTTACCACCCACATCACTGGTCCACCGCGTCCCCCAGCAGTAACGAGCACTTCCTGAGAACACACTGCGGACCAAGCCCTGGTCTAAGTCGTGAGAGGACATTATCCTCCCTCCCACTTTAGGTCAGTGGATGGGGCTGAGCCAGGTGACGGCATGGCTGCGACATCACCCAGTCGGGAAGAAGCCAGCGTCAAGTCAAGGCTGCCGAGTCAGCCCTCTGTAGTTACTGCAACACATCCCTCTGGCCACGGGGGCTCACAGAGTGCCTTCAGTGTAAGTGGTGAGTGAGTGACACACTCAGAGCAGGATGACTAAAGGCAAATCAGTACGACTTGTCAGAAACGGTCTTGTTGAGCTGGGTGGTGATAAAGCTGCACGGTTTGCACTTTTCGATTTATCAGCCAATCAAAGGATCTGGAGGGTCATAATCAGATGTCCATGTTTGACCGACTTTCTGACCTACCTCAATGGTCAGTCGGGCGGGGTGATTTTCCACAAGCAGCTGCTCTGCTATCTCCTGGACGGATTTGATGTTTTCTTCTTTTTGATCAAGTTCTCTCATTAATTCCTAATAGAAAGAAAGAAGTAAGAAATGTGTTAAGAAAAAAAAAAGACAAAACCTGTGTCTTTACAGCACAGTGACAGAAGTCACACTTACAGCGTGGTACTCTCTCTTCCTGGCTATGTTGGTGTTTCTCTCGCTCCAGTCGTAAGCAACCTCCTCCTCTTCTTTTTCATTCAACCAAATCAGTTCCTTAGTGGCACGAGTTACAAAATTATAGAGGGTATCCAGGTGCCGCTCCTGATTCCTGGATGTATTCTTTGTAAGGAGAATCATGGTAAGAATCGTGTCTTTGCCACCCAGGGACAGATAATAAGGGAAAAGGAAGGTTGAAAAGAACTCACCAAGAGCTTTGCATACTGACTTTCCAGTCTGTGCAACTTCTCTGCGTAAGTTAGCTTAAGAGGTGCGGTCATCTGGATCTATGTCGTGGGATGAAAAGAGGTTAGGAATTCTGACCTGTAGTCAGTGTATCTATTATCCTGTTACACAGTCTTTATAGGAAGGGCAAAACAAAAATGGAGATGAAGTATATACAGATTTGGAGGGGTGATAATTAGGTCTATTTATTTATTTATTTTAATGGAGGTGCTGGGGATTGAACCCATGACCTCGTGCACGCTAAGTACATGCTCTACCCCTGAGCTATACCCTCCCCCTCATACAAATTTTAAATTCACATACCTCACTGATCTTCGCTTCTTTAAGGCTAGATTCAAATTCTTCAATAGCTCGGTGAACATTTTTATGATTCTCCAAATGGCTTTCAACACTTGGCAAATCTGATCCCCATTCAGTGTGGTCCAGTTGCACCTTTCAACAGAAAGATATCAGGTTAAAAAAAAAAACTGGTATCAAGACTGAGACTCTCAGGGGGAGGGTATAGCTCAGGGGTAGAGCGCATGCTTAGCATGCACAAGGTTCTGGGTTCAATCCCCAGTACCTCCACTAAAAGTAAATAAATAAACTTAATTACCTCTCCCCCCAAAAAATTTAAAAAAATAAATAGAAGACTGAGATTCTCAGGCAAAGTAAATATTTTTTTACCTGCATCTCATCGACCCAATTCAAAAGATCCTGAACAAATTTCATGTTTATCTCCTCTTCGGTTAAATTCTGATCCAGCAAAGATGACTTGAGAAGGGGCTTCCTGATCTGCATCAGCTTCAGAGTCTGCAGGGAATTCGCCTCGACTCCTGAACTGAAGCTGGGAACTAGTCCTGGTGGGACGCTGGGTGTGAAGGCGGGAGTGACAGCCGGGGTCAGGCGAGACGTCAGCCCCGAGGACAGGCCCGAGGTCACGCTGGACGGGGTCAGGGAGGGTGTCAGCCCCTGTGTCAAGCTCTGAGTGATGCCTGATATCATGAGCTTCGTCTGCTCGGTGGTCAGCACGCGGCCTTTGCTGTACACTGAGGAACATTCATTCCTTAGGGCCAGAATTTCATCACGCAGTTTTGCAACCCTGAAGAGAAACACACACGGGATGAGCTAGAATACAAGAAGCGTTCTTCACAAAGGTGAACCCTACGGGCAGCCAAGGACTCTAATGAACAGCAGCGTGTCAGTGCTGCTCCACAGCCGGAACAAAGGCCTCGCATTAACGCAGGATCTTGTAACGGGGAGAGGGGCCGGGGAGGGGACCTGGGACCTCTGCACCTTCCACTCAGCTTTTCTGCAAAGCTAAACTGCTCAAATAAACAAAGCCTATTTTTTCCTTAATTTGGGGTGGGGGGTAATTAGATCTATCCATTTATTTTGATGGAGGTCCTGGGGATTGAACCCAGGACCTCGTGCATGCTAAGCACACGCTCTACCTCTGAGCTATACCTTCCCCCTACAAAGTCTATTTTAAAATGGCATTTAATCACATTGCTAAAACTTTATATCACGAATTTTCTCACTAAACGTTGTTACTATAAGCACTGTCCATATTATCACATAATCTTCAGAAGTGTAACTGATAATGAACGTGATTACTCCACTATAGTATTATTTTCCTGTTATTTGGCATGTAGGGGTCCAAATTTTTGTTACGATAAAGTAGTTTTGACTTAAAAGCTTTTTTCCCTATATTTTTAGATATCTTCTCTTTTTTCTGCTTTTTAAAGATATTTTCTACATTAAGAATTAATACAGATTTCTAAAAGTGGAATTACTGGGTCAAAGCATCATTTATAATTTTTGCTTTATATAGCTCATATATCTGTAAATTTACATATATTTTATATACATATATATATATGTATATAAAACAACTAGAAAGGTTCCATTCCTACCCTGAAACCTACTTCTCAGAGACACAGATTTTTATACACATACATTTTTTCCAAGATGTTGTTACGAATATTTTCATAAGATAAACAGACAACTGAAAGACTGACTTAAAGGATACTTTCCTTGGATTTTCCCTTCTTCAAAAACCACACATGAATATTTCAACTGTATGTTAGTTACTACAGCAGTAAATAATGCATGTATCATAGAATTTTCCCCAGCACTTATCTTTGAAGAACAAAACCTACTTAACACACCAGCACATAACAGAATTAACGTGACACGCATTTTCAACAAAAAAGAGCCCGAGAAATGTATTTCATGGAAGGGTCACCCTCAGCGTTCTCCTCCCAGGTGCCAGGAAACGGTCACACAGAGGGTGCTGCTCTCACCTCTGCACCAGCTGGTCTGCCTGGTAGTATTTCCCATCGATAAGAATCTGTACATCGATGACATGCTGGCGCAACAGGTTCTCACACTCAAGGACGTAGCCGGCAATTTCTGCTTCGTTCTGAAACTGCACCCCTGATTCTAATCTTTTCGAATCCTGTGTTTTAGAAGAACTCAGTATTAATTCTGTGAAATAAAGTTTCAAAACTAGCCTCAAATATAAAACTCGAAATACTGGGGCAGAAAGCTACTTGGGTGTTCTCTGTTTTCCCTTTTGGTTCAAAAATCCGTTTTCCCTCAAGAGCGCAAAGGGAACATAGTCTTTAACACACTTTAGGTTTCAGGAGACAGACTGACCCAATGTTAGGCAAAGTTTTAGCTCATCTGAAGGCACAGCCACCTCCACCACAACCCCAGCGGCTCCTGAAACTGACTTACAGACTGGAGAGCGTTGCGGGCAAGTATCAGTTTGTCTTCACAGATGATGCTGTCCCTCTGAACTCGGCTGGCAATTTGCTGCAACATTTCCAACCTAAGAGAAGGGGCAGACAGAATAACATAAAGCCTCTCCTTTGAAGTCGCAGTCTTCGCCACCCCTGGAAAAAGCAGCCCACCGGAAGCAAAACACGATCCCACACCAGCGACTCCGTACCTGTGACCATCGACAGATTCATTGCCAAAGCTGATGCAGGAGTTGATCAGCGTCGGACCACAATGAACCGAGAGGAGATTTTCATTTGAATCGAGACTGGTTCGGGTGCTAGTCGTGTTACTGAACACAGAATCGCTGCTATGGTAGCTGTAACTACTGCTGTGCATTTTTACCCCTGAAATGATGCTCCTTCTTTGACCGTGAAAAGTAAACTAGAAAGCAGACGGTCTGCAAAAACTTCTACTTCTAACACTGAAAAGGGGCGGCTGAATGTTACAGCGTTAACGGCTCCTTAAATAGGCTCCAAGATGCATATTCCACACACAGCAAATAAATACGCTGATAGCTATTCAAAAGAGTCTCGCCTCCAGCCCTGTGTTTGCTGGCAGAGGGCTGCCTTTTGTAGCCTGCACGGAAGCCTGGCATGTACGAACAAGGCAGGTTGTTCGGGGCGTCACTGGAAAAGACTTGCCAAATATTTTCACCCAGAGTCATCCGCCTGCAACCGCCTCAAAAACAACTCAGATGTCTCACCGAAGCCCAGCGACCATTAGCAAAGGGGAGTCTGGCAATACCAATTGTCAGCCAGAAGAATCCATCAGAGCCTGACCACAGCCTTCTGGAAAGGACCAGGTCGGTACTGAGCAACAGGGCTAAAGCCTGGGACGGGAAAGCGCCTGCCAACAGATGAGTGTGACAGTAAACCAAGTACAGACACTTCCAGGGTAACCACCAGGTCATTCGTTTATGAGGTTCAATGTCCTGAAAAAGTATCCATTTACCATTTACGTGCTCCCAAGGACGTTATGCGTTACTAAAGTTCCTTCGCATTTTTAAAAGCCAAGCACTAAGCAGAATATCAGTGTGATGCTTGCAAGTTCCATCTGTCTGTGCTTGTTCTGTCTTTCTAGAGGTGATTGCCTGGCGTAAGAACGTTGGCTCTTTCTCTTTTGTCTTTCATGTGGTCCCATGCCACACAGCTATTATTTTGCAATACAGACTTCCTGCCAAAAAACTTGTTGCATCAAGAAAAACGAAGGCTTTATCTAGCCCAGCTCCGAAATATTTTCCTACGCCCAATGCTACAAAGCCAAACTGCTGCTTCTCCACCTGGACGGAGATAACTGTGCTTTTCAGAAAGCAAAGGGGAATCCGAGAGCGCCCTGTCACGTATAGTCAGCGCACAGAAAAGCACAAATTACTAAGAGCAGCGCCTAACGTTTCTTCAGCAGCTGTGACGTGTCAGGAAATTGATGATTTTAGAGACACACTCATAACCCGCAAATGCGGTAGGTAGTATTATGTCCTGTTTACAAGCGACGAGACTGAAGCTTTGAGAGCTTAGTGAACCTGAGATTCCCCGGCTTGCAAACCGAGCTAATAATTCATCCAGGACTGACTGGCTCCTGGACCCTGAACTCAACCACATGATCTTTTATTAACATATATTCAAACCCAGCTGCTACTCTGATGACGGACATCTGCCATGTACCCCCTCTGGCGTATCTGCCCTTATTTCAGAGGATAAGCTGAGTATTCTAACCACCCAGAATCATCTCCATGAAAGGTCCCTCCTGCGTAGTCCTGGCGTGTTCTGGTTCTAGTGATCCAGTTGTGCAGATATAATAATGTACTTTAAGAAGTGCATTAGATCCATCAGTAATTTAATGAAGGCCTCACTACACAGACTTGCTCCTGCATCTTCAATGCATCAGTGCATACTTCTTTCATGTGGAAGTGATGAGGGACCCTCAGGACCCTGAGGGCCCCTGTGTAGCAGGCCCGGTGTTAAGTCTGCCAACACAAGGGATGGCAAAAAAAAGGGGGGGGTTGTCTTCACGTAATGAAAGCTCACAGCTGTGGAACAGGCAGCCCTTATCCCAGCAATCACAGAAATGAACACAAAATTACAACCGAGATAAGGAACAGCAGCTAGGAAGGAACAACACGTGAACTAGGAAGGTTACAACCAAGACGCCTGGACCAGCCTGGGAGGCCGCGGGAAGTCTCTGGAGGGAACGACGTGGGAGCTGAGATCTGAGAAAGATGGGGAGTCAAGAGAGATGGGGAGGGTGAAACTGACTTCCCTGCCGAAGGAACGCATGGTGCAAAGACCCCTTAATGGGGCAGGGTGGGCCTTGGCACATCAGGGCTACTGAGAGGCAGGCAGCGTGGCTGCCCCGCAGACATGGGAGGTGTGACACCACGGGCCTGAGGGCTACACCTGTCCTGGCCTCCAGGCTGTAAGACCAGGCCCATGGACTCAGGCCACAAGCCCCATTCACCACAAGTCAGGCTGCGACGCACAGACTACGATGGAGACAGATCCGTCCCCCAGACGTCTCCTGAGGGCTACATGGTACCTTCCTGGGCATGTGGGTATAGTGGGAGAGACAGGTTGAGGTCAGTGATGACTTTCTGGAGTAAGTGCATTCGTGGACATGGGATGAGGCGAACGTGAGCCGGCATTTACTAAGTGTTCTCCAGATGCCACCTCACTGCCCTTCAAACAGAGGTCTTGCGGGGAAGGTATAGCTCAGCGGTACAGCACATGCTTAACATGCGTGAGGTCCCGGGTTCAATCCCCAGTGCCTCCGTTAAAGAATAAATACATAAATAAACCTAACCACCCACCCCCAAAAATAAAACAAACAAAAAAACAAATAGAGGTCTCATTGCCCCATGGGAAGAGGGCCACAGCCAAAAATGTATCAAGAAATAAACTAAGTTAACTGCTGGTCTATGTATGAGTGTCCAGACCCAGGCCTTGGAGACTTAAATCAGTTTGAGAACTCCTCACTGGTAATCCTGATTGACTTTAAAACTGTAACCACCCGTTATACACAGATGTGTGAATAGCTGTTGTATGTAACAGTTATACGTGTATATACTATTTATGTAACAGTCACAGATGTATCACTGAATCACTTTGCTGAACACCTGAAACTAACACTGTACATCAACTACACTTCAATAAAAAATAAACAAATAAACAAAACAACCAATCAAAAAAAAGCGGTAGCCACCATACTGAATGAGACTTCATGCGCCAACCGAGCCTAGCAGGCCCTCTCTGACATTCCTCCACTGAGTCAAGTCCTCAAACCCCAAGGAAGAGCTTCTCGATGAGAAAATGAAGCAGCAGAAAGACCAAGGTCACACAGCCAAGCAAGTGGAAAAGGAGATCAATGCTGGTCCCAGGCCAGCCAGTCTCCAGAGCTTAAGTTCTTCCCACGTGAGAAGAGCCCCCTCCCATCGCGACAGCC